CGCTAACCAAACTAGGTCAACACTGCGGCGTCGAAGCAAGGTCTGGCAGCTGGTTATAAAGGGCAGGTCTCTTGATGAGAAGATGCGCATCAGGTGTGCTGGAAGACTCCAGCTCCAGGAGACCCACGGCGCACTCAGCTGGAGGAAGGTGGTAAAGCTCCAGATCCCAACAAACAGGAGCAAAATAATGAGAGAGAAGGAAAAGAGGGGAATAAAACATTAACTTAAGTATTAAGCTAATCAATATACTATGAACCAAATGGCAGTTAAATACTTTTTCATCTGTCTTTTTCACTTCCTCTTTACAGCTTTAAAATAGCTAATTTTTAACTTAAACTGCTTAAAGTAGATCTTCTTTTTCTTTATGTTTTCCTAGAGCCAACAGATTTTAATTAATAGAAATTCATATTTCAAAAACATAGATGTGCTTCTGAATTACAATCCTCCACATAATCAAATAGAAATAATATATCTCCTTTGAAATAAAGGAAAATACTATTAAATGCAGTTTTAGAGAAATGATGTTGGCTTCAAATAAACCATATATATTACAAAAAAGAAAAACACGCCTGTGCTCTTTGTAAAAAATGCAAGCTGCTACAAACCAACTATATCCAGAAAAAAAAAGCGGGGCTCTAACAATATTTTAGATATAGTTAATTCACCTTGTAATAAGATAAAAGGAATTAAACATAGTTTTGTTTCTAATAAGATGAAATGATGATACTCACAGTGAATGATGAGTTTGGTTCCTCCACCAAAAGTCCACCAGAGTGACAGAAACTCATTAAGAGGCCGTACAAAAACCTCCTGCTCTCACAGCAAGCAACTTTTTACTGAAGAAACACAGTTTTTGCCCTAAAACTATAAGTTTATACTTTTGCTAAAGTGAAAAATTATCTAGCATCTTTAAATAAAAGTTATTTATATCAAAGGAATTTTTAGGAATTTTTTGTGTTTTTTCAGTTGTAAAATAAAATGTTTACTTATCTTTCTTCTTCTTCTTTTTGAAATCCTTTAGAAGATTATTTAAACATTATAAAACAGAAAATAAAGTGAATTACCTAATTCATAAATTAATAGCTGAACATATCTAATAGAAAAAAGATAAGTCAAATTTCCAAAAGGATTTTGTTTAGTTTCAAATTCTGTTTCCTTTTACCCAAAATTGTAAATTTTCCCTCTTTTCTTTCTTCTTCTCTTTTAATAAAATCCTCAATGGTTTAAATCCAGCAGCTCTTTGTTCAGATGTTGTGTCTCTGTTTGTCTCCAGTGCGCTGAGAGCAGAGAAATCATTTCCATAGAGAGGAGGCTTTGCATGGTCAGCTGATCCTCCAGG